CCCAACCCCAACCCCAAACCCAAACCCAAACCCAAACCCAAACCCAACCTCAAAGGCATAAATTAAATATATCTAAACTATCTCAAGAATGAATTGTAAATAATTGATATGATTTGATTGTAATATGATTTTTGATATATATATATATATATTATTAAAATTTATATTGAAATAGTATAATAGTTTATAAATTTAATTAATAATAAAATAATGAATTAAAACTCATAATTTTAATAGAATTAGGATTTTAAATGTAAAGATCATAATGAAAAGCTTGCTCTTTTTTGGTGTAGATAAAATGATTGTAATGAGAATAGAATTTTCTGTCTGAATTGTCAAAAGTAGAATAAACATATCTAACATTATAATGAAGATGTTTTTAGTATTCATGAATTAAATTAATTTTTAATTGACTAATCAAAACAACCTAAAAATCTTATTTCAGAATGTCAACTTTAATTATAATTAACAATTAAATCATTTGATAAACTCATATCTGGTTTATCATACAAATTCTGTGGAATAGAAAATAAAATTAATTAATTTAAAAATTATTAAACATAATAAGCTCTTGATTCTTTGATTAAATTTGATGAATTTAAGAATCATTTGAAAAATAATATATTAGGATTTTTATAGAAATTTTAAAATATTTTAGATGATCTTTATATTAAATTAGAATTACATCTAATTTAATATTAGATAACTGATTAATAGATTTAATTAAATAAAATAGAATAATAAAAAGGTTTTAATAAATCTTTATATTCATTTAGGTATTTCTTTAAATAATAGTAATAAATAAAATGAAGCAATTGAATTATTTAATAAGTTATTGTTAATTGAACCATATAATATAGAAATTATGTATTAAAAAGGTAAATAATAATTATTATTAATATAAGCAAATTCATTAAATGAATTGAATAAGTTAGAAGATGCATAATAAATATATAAAGATATAATTACAATTAATCCAAAACATGAACTATCTTTATTGAAAATCGGTAAATATATATTACAATAATATTTAGGTGATATCTTAAGAAATTAAAAGTAATATTAATAAGCTTAATATTATTATCAAAAATGTATTTCAATTAATTTAAATAATTAACATGCTTAATTTGGAATAGGTATTATTTAATTATATATATCTTAAGCGGAATCTTTAAGATAGACTTATTAATATAATAATGCTTTGTAATATTATCAAAAAGCAATTGAAATAGATTAATCTAATAAAATCTATTAATTTTATTAAGGTTTAATTTAGAAATTTATATTATTTAGGTGATTGTCTAACATCTTTAGAAAGATATCAAGAAGCTATTAATGTTTATAATAAAGTTTTAATTAAAGATCCAAATCATATAGAAGCAATGGCAGGAAAAGGTATTATAATTATATTAAATAATCAAAGGAATATGTTTAGTATATTTAGGATAAAATGATGAAGCATTGAAAATTATAACAAAGTCATTAAATCTAAAAAATAATTGTATATTAGGATTATATGGATATGGTAAATAATGATTTGTTAATATTAGGAATATACTTAGGCTTTAATAATAATTATGAAGAAGCTATTAAATACTTTGATAAAGCTTTGGCCATAAATCCATAGCATGTTGATTCATTGTGGGGAAAAGGTAAATTGAATAAAATTAGATTTAAGGTGAATGTCTAAGAATGATGAATTAATTTGAATAAGCACTAGAATGGTACGAATAAGCTTTGGCCATAAATCCATAGGATGTTGATTCATTGTATGGAAAAGGTAAATTGAATTAA